AAAAAAAAAATGCATGCAGAACTTTGTCATTTTATGTATTTGGCCTTTATAAAGATCAGTTTGGATTGTCCTAAATCCAAACTGTTTTGATGCCATCAGTTGTTGACTGTAAGGTATTAGGTAGCAAACGTTAGCTTTTCAACATATAGCTTTTATTTCCATGTCCTAAAAGTTTTGATAAAAGTCGGTATTTTTTTGTCTTAGGAGCCGTCCTTCCATGGAGCTTGTGCTCTGGAAACCTCTCCCTGAACTCCTTTCTGATAAGCCAAAGCCATCATCTAATGCTAAGAACTACACAGGAGAGAGCCAAACTAAGCATGCAGCTGTTGGCACTGCCTTCCCTCAGAAAACTGAACTGTTCTTAGAACCTCGGCAAACAGGGATGCCTCTTTACAATAGTTTGGGGACAGCTGCTAACACAGAAGAAGAGATGGAACTCTAGAAACCAGTTTCTACACTAAAGTTGTCAAATTTTAGAAGACTCCTGTGTTCAATTATGAGCCGACTTGTGTAGTATAGGGACTTGAAAGTTTTATGAAACGGGTGTAATAATAACTCCACCTGTGATTTGGGGTGGGACTCTCATTTTGGTAGCCATTTATTGAATTCAACTTTTTGCCAAGGAAGTTTGTCTCAAGGAAAAAGCAGTTTTCTATGGGGCTTTTTAAAGGAATGTTGGATGACAGTCTCTTCAAAGGCAAGTATAGAAGCTGTGTGTGTAAGAGTAACTGAAGCTATCTGTCACTGTTGTCTAAACTATTCGGACACTTGCAGACTATTCTTCTTGAGTTGAAAAAGATGATTAAGGATGAAGGGTGCTCCTACTACAAGTACCTTAACAATTAAGTCACACATCAGTCTGTAGATATGAGCAGTGGTGACTATGTATGATTGAGGAGAAAGAGGGAAGAAAGCAGTAGCTTAAGCGTATTGCTAAGAAGTTTAACAGAGGCCTTGAAACTTATAAATTAGTTGTCAATTCTTTATAGCTATGTTGATTAAATAGCCAGTAGCATTGTAGCTCTCCTTTTGGCCTCTAAAAATGCAATGAAAATACAAAGAAAAGGTTTTTCCTTTAAGGCTTTGCCTTGTGCTACTGTTGCTCCTTGGTTTTCTTTGCATAATTGATAAGCCCAATTATTCAGTAATGTTTACAACTAAATTAACTTTGATAGTTAAAACGCTTATGAGGTAACCCATCTGCAAATTGCCTGTGGGAGAAGCATCCTTCAGTTAATCCTAAGGAAGTGCTTTGTCAGCTAAACCCAGCATCAATGACTTACGTAGTTTAAAAAAAAAAAGTTGTGCTCGTATTAGCAAGTTGAGTTTTTTAATGTTAATTTAGGAAACGATGAATAATTAACTGAGAATATATGGGCAAGTGACATTGAGGTTTACTGAACTAGCCAATTTGTCTGGTGCTTAAATTATTGTGCAGTAAGTCTAAAAGCTAGTGGAGAATAGATTCCTGCTAGCAGGAAATCATCTTGAGTACCTAAACCAAGCTCAAGGTGTCCTTTAGGGATAACCAGGATTGAATTTTTTAATTTCTCAGGAAGAGCTCTTCTGTGCAGCAAGGACTCATAGTGCAAAGTAAAATGATAGTTCCTTTATTGGTACAGAATATCCACTATAGGTTATTAAATGAGTGTAATAGTGAATACTGGCCCTTCCATCACACAACAGGAGACCACCCCAGTTCTTTTTGTTTTGTTTTCTGTGTTTCTTCTCTCTTTGTAGGAATCAGATACCTTTTGTAGAAAAAAATGGTTTATGCTAAGTAGAGGTGAATTTTTAGAAACCAGCTTCCAGGCATTTTTGAAACCCATACTGAAATCCCTCTCCTTGTTACAGATGGTGTAGAAGTCACAAGTCTGTTAATTGGACTGTTTCTTCTCTTGTCTGTTGTTCCTGCTTTCTCTATTTCTGTCTGGATAGTCAGGAAAAGATTTATTGTTTAATATTTAAACAAAATATTTATGTCTACACAGTGAAATTATTCAAACTTCAAACCAGTATTGAAACCAGTTGGAAACCAGCTAATAATTTCTTAATCTCAGACTTAGAGATGAATGTAAACTGTATTCTGTTGAAATGTGCAAGTGTTTGATTCATGCCGTTTGAAAAACTCCTGCCTTGAGGTCATTGTTTAATGGGACCAACTTGTAAAGTTTGTAGCCTTAAAGCAATCTCTGTGCTAAAAAAAACGTATTCTAGTACAACTCAAAAACAAAGTAACTGCCTGGAATTTGAGTTAGTTAGTCTTAGTGTTAATAGTGGAAAGAGAGATGACAGCTTTCCAAAGAAGGACCCAAAACATGCCAAGATTGTCTTCTAAAGGGATTCTTGGGCAGTCCTCTGATGAAAGGTCTATATGATGAAAAGAGGAAAGAAGAGCCCTAGAACAAGACACTGATACTATTGGTAAATACAGGAGAGAATTAAGATTCTGTTAAATCCAAACAGAATTTGTTTCAGGAGTCAAGTTATCTGACATGATTATTTCTGTAGGAAAATGGATGTTTAATTGTTTCTTTTCGGGCTTTATCTTCTTGCATATGTTTGTATAAAAATTGTCATCTTCATCCTTGTGGTGCTTATTCATCTGAGCCGTCTCCACCGTCCCAATGCCTCTGCTTTTTGTTTTTCTCTTGTAGCATAAGACTTTTGCTTTTGCCTTAAGGTTTCCCTAGGGAATTAACAGGGCTTTTCGTTTTGTATAGCTTTTGCAGCATGGATCAAACATTGGCTTACTATGCTAATGTGTGAAGAGAAAAAATTATCTAAAGCAGGTGAGCTTTAATGAACAAATGTATATTTTATCTGAGTTTGAGTAGGGTGTGTGTGGTTTTTGTTTTGGGGGGTTTTTTGGTAATTAATACGAAGAAAGTCCAGTTCTCACAAATATTAGTCAATTAAAAAAAACATTATTCTTAAAAAGGTACAAGTGTAAAATTTAGAAAAATAAGGTAGGGGCCAGAATCATGAGAAGAATGTTTACCAGCAGGTTCATTTGTTATCTGGATCTGGAACTTGGCTTTGTTTTTCAGTAGTGACAAGAATGGTTTCGTACTAGGAAAGTTCTTGAAGATGCTGTCAATTTTACTTTACAGTGAGAATCTGGTGTTTCTGTATTTTATCATTTTCAATAAAACTTAAGTGTTTTGGACTTTTTGAGATATTTGTTATTTCTGCACTTAAGTAAATGAAATCAGATATCTCTTTGCTTTCCTGTAAATCATAATTGAAGCAGCATTCATATCAGTGAGGGACTTACTTAAATTTATGCTGAAGGGTTATGTTGAGTTAAAGGTTTTTTCATAATTGAACTAACTATTTCCAGAATAAGCAGCCTGTGTCAGAGCAGTTCACTGCTGTCGATGATCAGTGTTCAGATGGCAGTGGTGACTATGTCTTCAAAAATGTTCAAATGTGGGCCGGGCCTGGTGGCTCATGCCTGTAATCCTAGCACTCTGAGAGGCCGAGGTGGGAGGATCGCTCAAGGTCAGGAGTTCGAGACCAGCCTGAGCAAGAGCGAGACCCCGTCTCTACTGAAAATAGAAAGAAATTAGGTGGACAACTAAAAATATATGTAGAAAAAATTAGCCAGGCATGGTGGCGCATGCCTGTAGTCCCAGCTACTTGGGAGGCTGAGGCAGAAGGATTGCTTGAGCCCAGGAGTTTGAGGTTGCTGTGAGCGAGGCTGATGCCACGGCACTCTAACCCAGGCAACAGAGTGAGACTGTCTCAAAAAAAAAAAAAAAAAAAAAAAAGTTCAAATGTGGAGTTGTAAGTGATATACAGAATTTACAGAGAGGGGTTTGGGACCTTTGAAATGGGGAATAGAAAATTCAATGATATTGTTACATGGTTGTTCCTTTCCTAAGAGTTGACAGGTCACTGGGTGGCAGTATTGCCTGCATATTTACAACTATTCTTTGATAAATGTACTTCCCCGACTTGTAGGGCAGGGGAGTTAAGTTTGGGTTGCAATTACAGAAAACAAGGGATATTGTTTTGTTTTTAACCAAAATTTGGAAATCATAGCTAAAATTTATCTAATTTCTTTATTTTACAGGTTTGGAGACTAAAGTCTAAGTAGATAGTGACAATTTAGCACTTACCAGGTCCAACTCGTCAGGTCCAGTGTTCTTTCCACTTGACCAGTTAGTTTTCACAGAGTCTTTTTGCAGCAATACCTAAGATGTTGTCTTTTTTTTTTTTTTTTTTTTTTTTGAGATAGGGTCTTGTTCTGTACCCCAGGCTAGAGTATAGTGGCCTGATCATAGCTCACTGTAACCTGGAATTCTTGAGCTCAAGTGATCCTCCCACATGAGCCTCCCAAATAGGTAGGACTACAGGCACACACCACCATGGCTAGCTAATTTTTAAATTTTTTGTGGAGATAAGGTCTCATTGTGTTGCCCAGGCTGGTCTCAAACTCCTGGTCTCAAGTGGTCCTCTTGCCTCAGCCTCCCATAGTGCTGGGATTACAGGCATGAGCTGCCACACTTGGCCTAGATGTTATCAATTTCATTGAAATAATCTACAATAAAGTATGGTTTAGGCACTGTAACATTAAACTCCTTGAGGAAACATGGTTTAGTATATTTAGTATGTATTGGTTGGTTCAAATCTTCCAGCTCCGTTATTTCCCTAGTTCTTCATACTAGCAAGTGGCAACTGAGAGATGAAGTAGATGAAATTAGAATAGTGTTTAGACTACAGCTCCAGCAAGACGATGTGATGTCTTTCAGCAATTGTTTGGTGGATAAACAAACCAGGCTTCCTTTTTCTTAACAAACTTTAGAATTAGAAGTCACAAAAGTAAAGATTCAATTCTTAGGAGACAAGAATTTAACTAATGCCTTAAAATATGCCTGGAGCGGACAGTATTACCTTGTGTCTAGAGTTCAGTCCCCACTTTGTCTCTGCTCCAGTAAAAAAGCAAGGAGGCAGATGTAGATTGGTGTTAAAGGCTCAGGGAAACGGTGTGCAGACGTCTTGTCACCTGCATCTTTAACATCAATTATGAAATAACCCTCTGCACTTAATGGAAATCTTGCTTTGGTTTTGCAGGAAGGTCTTGATTTTTAGTTCTAACCATTCAATTTGGTGTTTCAATATGAAAATGTCCTTGAATACCACCACATTTTACTAAATACCAGGTGTCTTCTCAAAGCTGAGCACAATGCTTAGTAATTTTCATCCATCTGTGCAGGAAATGAAAACTGCGATAATCTACACAGGTTACGTATGTCCTGTCCCGTTAGTACAGCTGCTTCTTTCATGTGATGTCATTGAATGTAAATGACTTGAGCTTGAGCCTCCAGATGGTATGTTATGATAGAGGCTGATATACATTTGCATTTTACCTCTGCCTATAAAATCCCTAAATAGATTCTTGGCACTGAAGTTTTCAGTTATAGAAAATCAGGTGAGGTAAGGTTTTTGATCATGGCAACAGCTGTAGGCTGCCCTTAGGTTTACAATACAGAAACCCAGAGCCTAAGCTAGCTTGCGTTGCTGAGCACTAGCATTAGGCTCTGACTTCAGCGACCAGATCTTAGGCTGACTTATCTTCAAGTATGCTTATGGACATGCCTCCAGTCACCACACCAAAGTCATTCCCTTGTACTTGGCTGAAACTGTAGCTGGCTTCGCCTGCTGCTTGCGATTCTCTGAATCCTGCCTCCTTTTGTCTACTCACTCACTTTGGCTCTTAAGAGTTAGTCTTAATAAATAGGGAACATACCATTTAATTGCTAAATTGGCATAGAATGATTTCATC